ACTCTGTCTCTGGTGAAGCCTCTCACTGCCTCTGCACCTCTCACCTGTACCCCAGCTCTGTATGAATAAATAAATAAATAGATCTTTCTTAAGAATGTGAATGTACTTAGTACCACTGAAAAAATTATGATAATAACTTTTATGTATGTATACTGTACCATCACTTTAAAAAATCACAGTATTTCATGTAGAAAGTCAGGATTTCAGGCTTCATTTGAAAAAAATCACATCTGACGCCACAGATGCTTATATGACAACCATCTCCAGTTTACTGCTGACCTCACCACCCACACCACTGGCTTTTTTATGAGTTTATGGCTCAGGTTCTAAACAGAGCTGTATGGCACTTTTCTCAGTGAAACCTTCTCCATCAATTCTGACTCACTCTTATTTTCTGTAGCATCTAGCATCTGTGTTGCTAGTTATCTTCTATGTAAACATTCCCTCCACCCAATTACACTTCTTAAGCAAATACAGAGTAGTTACTTCAGTCCTAGAAAATCGCTACCATGGTGATGCAGTGGTGAAACAAGACGAAGTCCCGGCGGTCTTGGGGCTCACTTTCCAGTGGGCAAGGACACACCAGCTGAGAAAGCATGTCACATACTGATGAACACTGGGAGTGGACAGTGCAGCAGGGTAAGGAGACAGGAAGTGACTGGACGGGATGGAAGTGACTGGATGGGATGGGGGGTCCAGTGACTGGATGGGATGGAGGAATGGGGGGAAGGGGGGGCCCTTCAGTCAGAGCAGTCAGTGAAAGCCCCTCTGAAGGCTGAAACCTGGACAAGAGGGAGCCAGCCATGGGAAAACCACGGTGAAGAGCACTCCAGTCAAAGGGAGCAGGCTTGGAAATAGAAAGCTGGTGTGGCTAAGCACAGGCAGGCAGGAAAGCCTGTCATGCTGTCATACGAAATGAGGGCAGAAGTGAAGGGGCGGATTCTTTTCTATGAGGTGATTTACCTGGGAGGTGATGGAAATTTTTTCATCCCAGGCATCGCAGGCATGCAAGCAAGAATTATCATCAGCATTTACTTTTTTGAAAATATACCCACGGTTACTTTCCATCCCAAGCTCTCCTTGTTACTGGAAGGCTTCAATTCTTCATCGGACATTTCTGCATCACAGGGAACTGCTTACCCCTTTAATGAAGGTGGGTTTGTCCTTTATCCCCAAGTTCCAAAGCATGATATCGCCCCCCTTGGAGCCCACAGCAAGGATGCTGGTGTGAGTTGGGTGCCAGGCCAAGGCGGTGGCCCTCCTGTCGAAGGGTGCAGCCTTGTGGGATATTCGATAAGAAGCCAGAGAGTGCAAAAAGGCCTGCTGGAGATCCTGACACAAACAGAAAATTTGGCTGAATTAAAACCCAACTCCTGGGCAAATTGCCATTCTCTTCCTCCTTCACGATGAGCCCTAAGGCAAATCCTCCCACCAGAGGAGATCTAAATGCCTACTTCTGAGCATGAAAATGTGTAATGTATGTGAACTAATCTTGGAAAACAAGGGTGCAGTCTCCATTCCAGCTGAGACCTTCAGGGCACAAGACTTCTGGTGGGGGGCGAGGGGGGACCTCCCTGGTGGCGCAATGGGTTAAAGCAGAGCACTGTGAGGCTGCCCTCAGCCACTACAGCACTGGTTCGATCCCCAGCCAGGGAGGTGACCCACATGGCTTAGTGGCTTCTCCAGTCCTCAGCAGTGTATTTCAGTCAATCTGCTTGTTCTGCTCCCTACTCTGTTTCTAGTGAATCCACTTACCTTCCACATCTCTGGCCTGTACCACAGTTCCTGTATGCATAAATAAATAAATCTTAAAAAAAAAAAAGAGTTCTGGCTGAGTGCCCAGTAGAACCGTCACCAAGGGAGATGAGGGGTTCCTGATCATTTTGACCACCCTCTGAATCAACCTGGCATCTTAATTCTGGAGCATGTGGCAGTAAAAAGGTGCCATACAAACCCTGAGCGCCTCACCTGCAGGAGTGATGGCCAAGGAGCTTTGCCCAGCCTATGGCTGTGGAGTGACCTGATGATGCTGCTGCAGGGTGGCGGGGCCTGCAGGCTAGCCAGCCCCACCCAGGGGCAGCCTGAGTCACGTTTCCTGCTAGAACCTGCTGAGCAGAACAGACAGATTTTCCTCAACCATGTCACTGAAGGTTTTTTTGCGGAAGCCCAGCATAACCCATCTTTTATCCCTCCTAAGGCCATGGTTGGCTCAGCGTCATCCAGCCCAGGACACAGTGGGTAGGGATTCTACCCCTTTCCCAAAACACTCCCCCAAAGAGTAATTCTGAAGTGAAACTAAACACGATTCTTCAATTTCTGAGAGCTCAGTCAAAGAAGCACAGAATAAATAAGAAATATACTACCAAGCTTTTCCCAGTTTGAGCTAGAAAACTTGCCATAGAGTTGGATGGCAATTTTAAAATCATAGGTAAACACAAGAAAAACATCTTAGGGCAGCACAGAAAGGACTGTACCTTTAAATCCTATACTAAAATAATGTCAGGTGGCCAGCTGTTGGCCCCAAGTTCAATCAGTTCTCCTGGAAAGCAACAGTATCCAGGGGGGTCTGGGATGGTTCTAAATGCACTAGGTTCTTTCTGGGCAAGTAAATCCACTCAGAATGGGAATTCAGCAATTTTGGATTACCGAATTCTGATCTCACGAATCTGGCCTCTTGACAACAAATTCTTTTTTCTCATGGAAAAAACCCACTGAATCAACAGCCCCTGCTCCAATCTTTTAGTTCCCCCACACTCCTTTTGGCCACAGGTTCAATAAAGTCCCAGTAAACCTCAGTGAAAATGGGTTTTCTCAGGAGGAAAGCAGGAAACCGAGGGCTCTCACAGGTGAAACCAGGTACCTAACAACCTTGACTATGTAAATTGAGCGCATCCTCCACCAAGCAAGGCAGGGTTCTTTTATGCAGTCCTGTGTGTAAAACCCCCCTGTGCAAACAAGAAATTGTAAAGTTCCTTTCCGATGTCGCAGTGCTCATCTTTCCAGCACCTGGCGGGGCGGGGTGGGGGTGGGGGGGACCCAAAAATCTATGGCGTCACAGAAACTGCAGAAAAAACGCGCCCCACTCCTCATGAGGACCCCAAATGGCGAATTATTAAAGCAACAGCCACAGGCAGTACCTGGGCGCTTCACACATAGCTGCTTGGCTTCGGCCTCCAGCTCTCGGGGGCTTCTGCTCCTCCTGCGCTTGGGGCGCACAACCACCTCGGTGGTCTTCTGGATTTCCGCGCGTTTCTTGGGAGCCATTGCGTCCTCCGTGCGAAAGGGTATTATGCCTTATGCCGAGATTGGGAAGTTTCTGGGGAAAACGAGGCGGAGACCAGGGCTTCGGCTGGGTCACAGATAGGATGAGCAAGCCAACTTCCCGCCAAACGGGCGCAGGGCTGCGATTTGGCTTCTCGCTCCGGCCCCGCCCCCGGAGGCCCCGCCCCTCCGGCGGGGGTGGGGCGCGCGCAGGGAACTGGGAAGTGTGTCAGGGCGACAGGCATCTGCTCCCTGAGAATGTGGAGAGGTTTTTTCTCTTCTTGTTTGTTTTGAATCCCACAGAAATGGGATCTCACCTACGTGATATGCCGGATCAAGTCCGTCAGCGGCCCTGCCAGAAACAAAGATGGCTGCCCCTGCCAGGCCACCCAACTTGAAGCCTTTTGAGACGTGGAGCTGCCAGGTCTTGCGGGGCCTGGGAAACCAGATGCCAATCAAGGCGTACGCTCCGCCTTCTCTACTTCTAGTTACTGTGGGTGCCCTCTCTGGCTTTGGGTTACCCGGACAGCTGGAGCGGCGGCTTTGTGAAAGGGTAGCTATGCTTTTCTGCAGTATAAGCCACGCTGTTCTCGCCCGCTACCTTTGCAGTGGGTGTCCAGTGTTCAGATCTTCTCAGCCCCGCAGAATCTCAGCTTCTCTGGAGGGTGATTATTTTAAATAATGTAATAGTTTATTTTTACATCATTTTGAGCCTTTTTCCATCTCAATTGTAACCACCATGGGAAGAGGGTAATTTTTTAAAAAAGATTTATTTATGCATACAGAACTGGGGTACAAGCCAGAGGTACAGGGGCGGTGAAAGGATTCACCAGAGAGACAGCAGAGACAGGGTGGGGAGCAGAACAGGCAGACAGACGCGGGTGGGGGGGAGTGGGAGGGGGTTAGGAGAAGCCTGATGCCTGCCAAGGCCAAGTGTGTCAGCTCCCTGGCTGGCAGGGATCCAAATGGTGCTGCAGTGGCTGCTATAGCTTCTTAGTGCCACAAGGGAGGGCCAGAAACTGGAGACTTTTAACCAACATTTCCACAATCCTGCCAGGTCTCCCACTAGGGAGCAGCCGTTTGCTTCCCTCCTTCCAGCTAAAGGGGCTTCGAGGTCTCGTGTCCAGATGCCAGCCAGAATCCAAGGCGGCAGGCCTGCCTTAGATGTGGCCTCCATGGTCTGTTCTGATGCACCTGACTTTCTGCCACCACCAGGGAGGAGCTGGGATTAGTTGGCTTTTGTTCTCCTGTCCAGTGGCAATTTAGAAGGGTGAGAGGAGAGAAGATACACAAAAACACATTAACAGTAGATTCCACACTCAAGGAACTTGCAGATAATTAGGGGTGGAAGACATTTCCAAAAATAACTCTTGGAAAGGAATGAATACTCCAAAAGAAAAATTGGAAAATTCTTTTATTATGCATGATCAACTAAGACTCTTAGCAATGGCAGCCACCATGGGGAATAGCAAGCTTCTTGCTTCTCCCCTGCTGGCCTAGAGTATGTGGAAAGTTGTGTTACAGAAGCAAACTGGCATCCCCCTTTACTGAGAGTGGCCCTTAATTTCATCTCAACAGGGAGCTCAGTTGAGGGTAGGGGAGAAGTATAAGAAAAGATCCTACCCCTAAATGCTTTACAACTTACTGAAAAGAAGAAAAATGCAAGACAAAGAACTCAGGAGAGAACAGTTGAGCCAATAGTTGTATGCCAAGACTATAGATGCATTCAGAAAAGATAATCCAGCCAACGTATTTAAGAAAGACACAGTAAAGACAGGATTTTTTGGGCATAGCTGGGGGAGAGAGAAGAGCATCAGAGGTGAAGTAACAGTTTGGTAATAGTTAGAAATAGGCGTGTGTTAAACAAGGATAAAAGCAGCACCTGGGAGTTGGCCTGCTACTGACAGGCCTTGGCATTCTGTTGAAATAAACAATTGCACAAAACATCAGCTCAGACAAGGCCACTCTTGACCATGATAGATGGAGTGTGATGGCCTGTCTGAACACAGGCAGAAAGCTGAACATTGTCCAAAACACAACAATGACCAAACATCCCCCTATTAGTTTGGCTGTAACAACATAATCCCCTGGGAAAGGGGAGGTTCTAGATTCCCTGTTCCACCCTAAGGAAGGGTGCACCTAGAAAAAGACTAGGGAAAGGATGGAGAGAAGAACAAACGGGGTAAAGGGGAGGGCAGGGAAGGGGAGAGGAAGAAGCTAGAGAGATGAAGAACAAAGACTGGAAGAAGCACAAGGAACAGAGAGACATATGAAGAAGCCTCATTTGTGCCTTCGCCTTGCTTAGGCAGTTGGGGGACATGGAAGGAGACATTTGAAGAGACGTGGCTGAGAGGGATGATGGCAGCCTTTATCTTGTCTTGCATTTTGACTTGGCTTTTTTCCTTCCAGATGTGGCCTGGAAGTCAAGACCTGCCCCTTTCCTATGGTTTCCACCAGAAGGTGCCTCAGACTCGAGGCAAGCTTTTGGGCTTCAGTGGTCCTGTTCTGTCCAACCCTGTTTGGCTGGGTGCTTACCCACCAGGGGATGGCTAACTTTGGGTGTTAAATTATATTCTTTTTCTTCTGTCACACAGTAATTGTATCAAAGTTCTTTCTCACTGAAGGGCTTACATACTAGAGTGATTATACTTTGTCTTTATGTGGTGGATGGCAGAATCCATTTAGAGCAGGAAGGTTTAGGGGTGCTGGAGTGCCCCTATTTTCCCCACTAACAACATGACTGATTCCAGCATCTCTGCTAATCACAACTTTACCTAACTTCTTCCTACCTTTTGGTTAAGATTTATTGATTTCCTAACAGCCTTCAATCCAGGGCAATCCTTACCCAAATCATCCAACACAAATCCAATTCTAAACATCTTTTCTAACACGTTCTCACTGAGCTGTGCCAACATTTCCCTTGGTATACATCTTCTGTTCAATAAACCTGGCAATTTTCAATTTAGGGGCATTGAATTTCTGAGTGGAGTAAGAAGCTTGATCAGCTTGAGGGTCTGTGTAGAGCGGGAGAAACCAGGTAAAGAGGTTGAAGGGTGGCAGAATCCAAATTTCACTCATTCTGGGTTAACATAAAAAATCTGTGCTGCACTTGGATGGAGTTGGAAAAGATCATGCTTAGTGAGATAAGCCAGAAAGAGAAGGAAAAATACCGGATGGTTTCACTCATAGCAGGAGTATAATGGACCAGGCGAGAAAATAACAAAAATAACGAACAACCATATACCAGAGACATTCTGTGGGGGTGGAGTGGGGAATGGATCAAAAACGGGAGGGGGGGGGGAAGTGCACGGGATTATGGTGATGGCACACTGGTGACTTGGTGATGGGAAACCTGCGGGGATTACAATCGAGATGGAAAAAAAAATGTACAAAATGATGTAAAAAAAACTTTTATAATAAAAAAAAAAGTCTGTGCTGCACTATTCCAGGCAAGAACACTGAAATGATGAACATTCTTGGCTCTAATAGATCGTCCCTTTTAAAAGACAAGTAAACCTACCCCTGCAATAGAGTAAGCTTAGTAAGAGAGGAAGTCTGGGGTTCTGGCAGGGTGGAGTGAGAAGACAGAAAAAGGGAGACTAACTCAGCGTGGAGCCAGTAAAGAAGGGACAGAGTGAGGGAGTCTTCTAGGGAAGGTGACTCTTCAACTGAACCCTGAGAGATGGAGGGAGGGAGTAAGGATGGGGGAATATAGGAAATGAGAGCCAGCAGATGTCCATGATGGGGTCATGAGCAAAAAGAAACTGCTTAGTGCCATTTCCCCAGAATTCTATTTAAGGATGGGGGAGTTTTCCGTGATGCAAATTTTTTAAAGGATTGATTGATTGACTCATTCATTCATTCATTTATACATACAAGAACCGAGACAGGTAAGAGGTGTGGGGAATGGTGGTGGGAGGCAGAGGGGGGAGCGGAACAAGCAGATGGACTGAAATACACTGCTGAGGGGAGCAGCAGGCACGACAGGAGAGGTCTGCTGTGCCATGTGGGTCAGCTCCCTGGCTGGGGATAGAACTCATGTTGCAGCAGCTTGGATAGCTTCATCAGCTTCATCGTGCTGTGCTTTAACCCCCTAGTGCCACCAGGGAGGCGCCTCCATGCTGAATTCAAGGTACGGCGCGTGGTGACGACAAACGCCTGTGCCTGCCACCTGTGCCTGCCAGGGAAGCACTTTGCTCAGTCTGTGCTCTCTGGCGTCCTCCCCTGATTTGGCTTTAGCTGCCTTTGCTTCACCAGGGACTTGCTGCATTGCAGTCTCATCTCATGAACCTTCAGGTGGGGGTGGGCAACAGCAGCAAAGACGTGTTTTGAAGCCGTTAACCTGCCGCGAGGTGACTGGGGCAGCACTGCTCCAGGTTCATGCCCTGGACAGGCTGTGCTGTGAACCCCTGAGGGGTGTTTCAGTTCTCTCCTTTCTACCTTCTTTTGACGGAAGGTATCACAAGACCATTCGAAAACTGCTGGTGTCGGCAAACCAAGGCCCCAGGTTCCCACTGGAAGTCGGACAGACTGTGAGACGATCCTAAATGGCACCAGCTTCTGTGATCAGCAAAGCAACGTGTGACTTAGGTGTTTTCTGGAACAAATAATATAAACACAAGGAAGAGCCTTTCACCGAGCTTATGTGATCTTGAGTTCATTTTATTTTTCCATGCCTTCATTTCCTCATCGTAAAACAAAGCAGAGTGAATTGGTCTCTGAGATCCCTTGCAGTTTTAAAATTTGTGATCCTATGATTTACTGTTAAAACAGCAAAAACCAGTGACCGCTTTCAAATCTGGCATCCCTGGGGGATGTTTCCATGGAATGGGAAGTATTTTCCTGATGCAGGCAGAGACATGACTCCGATTCTGATCAAGTTTTCTATGGACCCAAATGTTCTACTGAGTCTGCAAAACCGTCCCTAACTCACAGGGGGGATGTGTGGAGTTTCCCCACTTACAGTGACTATGTGCAGTGGTTTGCAAATGACAGTTTTCCAGGACCCTGCTGAGCTTGCGGGAAACTGAAGCTG